CCCCCCCGTCCAACATCCCAGTTCGTCAACATCGTCGTCGAGTGAACGTCGCATCCAGTCGGGTAAGTCGCTAGAAAAAAGCGAGACCTAGTCTCGCTTTCTGCGTCTCTTCCATCCATAATTACTGTCATCGTCAGTGTTGGTGTTACCAACATCGGTCTCTGACGTCGTCGGTCTTCGTCTCTTACGTCGAGAACCAAGAGGGGAGGGGACTGTCGGAGGTGGAGCAGCCAATACCCGAATTCTCTCCCTCTCTCTTTCTCTCTCCGTTTCTTCCTTCTCTCTCATTACTGAGTTGCAAAAGGACCAGACAGCAGGCCTGGTCCTCTCATCGATAAGAGCGGACACTAGCGCTGGGAGCGTCAAGTCGTCCCCTATCTTTTCCTTGAGCTCCGTCCTATAGGGCTCCCACTGCGGGCATTCCTCAATCGTGTGCTCCGATGAATCGAGACCATCCGAGCAGAACCAGCAGGCGGATGTAGGTTCCTTGCCGATCCTGCACAAGTATTGCGCCGTACATCCATGTCCCGACAGGAGCTGTGTGGTCCTGAAGGATAACCCTACTTTTGCATCCGACCAGACGTCGAGATGGGGGCGAATAGCCCGACCTACGGCCCCCGCCGCATATTCAGGGAGGGCCATGAGATCGTTCCAGCATCTGAACATCCTCTCTTTAGCGTCTTCTCTGATCCTTGTCATAATCCTATTTGGGATTCGAGTGGTACCTCCACGTCGGAAGTCCGCGACCACTTCATGGATTTCCGAGTACATCTCGGCTCTCAACAAGAGAGGAGGGCTGCCGGCCAAGGTGATTGCGGCCGCGTAACTGATCGTTCGGTAACCCTTGATCACGCGACATGCGATTCTTCGCTGGACCCTTCTGAGCAGGGCCTTGATATTCTTATTGTTCCGCGCTTTGTCAGCCCAAGTGGGAGACGCGTACAATGTGATGGAATTTATCACAGACTCATGCAGCTTTCTCTGCCTGAAGCTCGGGCCTCCAACGTTTGGTAGGATACGGCTTAGGGCCGCGAGAACACCGTTCAACTTCTCGCTCATCTTCGTAAAATGCTTGACGAAAGTGAATCTACTGTCAATTGTCACACCCAAATATTTCAGGTTGTCTCTAAGCTGAATTTTGTCACCGTCCACGTTTACCCTAAGCGAGGCAGAGGGGACGCGCCTCCGTTCGCCTCTGAAATAGATGGCCTCCGACTTCTGTGCCGATATTTTAAGGCCTAGGTGCTTGATCTCCAAGACCACACTCTGCACCACCTGATTAATCAGGATGATAGCGTCGTTCCAATCCATACCGCCAGCCAGCACGATCGTGTCATCAGCGTAGGCGATTACCCTGCTATCCGCGGGAACGTCAGCTCTACGTAAGACCTCGTTGTAGGCGACATTCCATAAGAGGGGGCCCAGGATGGAGCCTTGCGGTACCCCTCTTTCCATCTTCCTACACTTAACTACACCCTGCTTATTTGTAAACGTAATGAAACGCTCAGAGAGGTAACTACGGATCATTCTTCTCAGGTAAGATGGAATCTTAAGGTTCCTCATAGCCATTCCTATACTGTTCCACGGAAGGGAGTTGAACGCATTGGAGATGTCTACCGACACCCCGATCACAACTCCCCCCGTGGACTCAATGTATTCTTCCACAAAGCCGCGTACTTGTAGTATAGCGTCGACCGTACTCCTCCCCGCACGGAACCCGTACTGATTGGTGTTCAATCGCGAGCCACCCTGATCCAAGACGAGGAAATCATTTATTCTTGCCGCGATCACTCTTTCAAACATTTTCGCGTCCTCGTCCAGAAGACATATGGGGCGGTACCCACTCGGACTATCCGCCGGTTTCGAGTCCTTTCTAAGGAGAACGAGTTTTGCCTTCTTCCATTCTTGTGGGAAGTACCCGGACTTTAGACATTTGGAGAACAGAGTCCTCATGTGCTCGTGGAGAGATCTAAGCGCCTCCCACCAAACCTGGGAGGGAACCCCAGTTGGGCCTGGAGCCGCGCTCCTCTCCCTCATTCTACGGGCAGCACTCCTTACCTCCTCGATAGAGACTTCCATATCCTCTTCCCTGGTCGATTCGCGCTGACTGACCCGTTCGATCCAAGGAGTAAGATCGTCGTCCGGTGAGGGAAATAGTGTGGTCAGCACCTCATCTAGAAAAGCTTCGTCGAGGGTCTCCGTTATCGGCACAGTCCAAAACCGAAGTTTGTTTAAGACCATCTTGTAGGCAGTGCCCCAGGGGTCTTCCTTCAACGATGAAATAAGATCCTCCCAAGACTTCTCCTTAGCCTTAAAAATCATGGCTCTCAGTTCTCTCTTTTTCTCTCTATAGGAGGCAATCGCACTTGAAAACTCTTCCGAGCTCGAGTGTCTTTTCCTCAATTTTTTGATTTTGCGTCTAGCCTTTTTGGACTCTATGCGTAGGTCGCCTATTTCTTCCGACCACCAGTGTACCTTCTTTCTAAGCGCCTGGCGGGATCTCGGCATTGAGGAGTCACATGCCATTGTAACAGCCTGTTGAATTTTCAGAACTGTCTCTTCCTCGGACCAGTTCTGGATCTCCTGTTTCACGGGCCACAACCAAACCTCGATCGCAGCTTCTAAGGAGTCCTTGTCCA